TTTTAGTTTGGTTGTTGGCAGTTTAGAAACCTAACGTATTCCTGATTAGTCTAAAGCTTCTCATCTACCAAATATACAGAAAATTAACTAAAAAGGGGCTTTTCACAAAATTAGCCTGTAAAGTTGTACTGAACATGTTATACATAAGCAGTAATTATATTGTACTGGATATTAATTGTAAGAAACCTAACGTATTCCTGATTAGTCTAAGCTTCTCATCTACCAAATATACAGAAAATTAACTAAAAAGGGGCTTTTCACAAAATTAGCCTGTGAAAGTTGTACTGAACATGTTATACATAAGCAGTAATTATATTGTACTGGATATTAATTGTAAGAAAATGTGGTGGTTACCGATTAGTGAAGGGATGTCCAATATCAAATATAAATAAATTATAATTGTGTTTTATACTAAATATATGGAGCCACTTGATATGAGGAAACACGAGAAGATAAAAAAAAATAGTTGAGAATCGGTGAGGACGTGAGGTTGAAGATCCATAAACATTATAAAGAAGTTTCCTTATGCAGTGAGCTATGGGGAGGGCCAAGGCTGGTGCTTGCTGAGCAGATTCCTGTATATTTATAGTTGTTTCCAGTAGAATTCATCACAAAAAATATCAAAGTTATTAATAATATTTAGACATACATCTAAATTTTCAAGCCAATCGGATTGAAAATGTATTGCCATAATAGCTTATGGACCACTGCAATGTTGGAAATAAAACACTCACACAAACAACTTTTATTGAAACTCAAAGAAATAATACAAGAGCACTCTTACTCAAAACCAAGAACTATAACTCACTCTTATAAGACTTTGCTTCTTCACTCACTTAGAAGCTCTTAATTTTTCTTGATGCTTAAAACTAAAATGGGGAGGGGTATTTATACTACTCAAGAACAATCCTACCACACAAATAAACTAATTAAACCATTACAAATTCAACAAATACTTCTGTTTCAAGAAATATACCCAGGTTTTTCTTGAAAAATCATCAATGAAGATAAGGAAATAGTTATTGTTACCGTGAGAGAGCTTGGCTTGATCGGTCCACACACATCGGTATGGATGAGCTCAAGTGTCTTCTTGGCTCTTGTCTCTGACTCCTTTGGAAAGCTTTTCCTAAATTGTTTTCTGACTAGACACCCTTCACAAAGCTGGTCAGGATGGTTGATGATAGGTAGTCCCTTCACCATCTCCTTCTTAGATAATAGTTCTAGACCTCCAAAATTGAGATGCCCAAATCGAAGATGCCAAGCCATGATGCATATTTGTAGCAAGCTTTCAGGCACTTTGCAACATCATTTTGTATGTTGATCAAGAACATTCTATTCTTTGACATTGACACTTTAGCAATGAAGTTATTCTTATCATCTTTTATAGAAAGATTATAATTATTCATATGAATATCGTAACTTTTCTCTACCAGTTTCCCTAAACTTAAGATGTTACTTTACATATTGGGCACATAGTAGACATTTGAAAGAAATTGATGTCTCACATCTTTCAAACAGATAAGAATGTTACTTCTCCCTTTCACTGCTATTGTGGAATCATCTCCAAACGAAACATTTCCGCTTACTGACTCGTCTAACTCCACGAACATGTCTTTCCTTCCACACATGTGATTGCTTGCACCAGTGTCAAGATACCAGGAATTTGCTTGGCCACCGTTAGTTTCCTTTCGTGCTAGAAGAAGAGTTTCTTTGTCATCTGTCTTTTCCTCCACGTAATTGGCCTTCTCCTCAATTTTTTTGTTGGGAGCTCTAAATTCTGAAGCATAATGCCCAAACTTCTGACAATTATAACATCGAACTTGAGATTTGTCATGCCTTGAGTTCAGATTGATTCTTCCACGGCCTCGTGTTGAGCTTTCTCCTTTCTCATAGTTGTTGTTGGAATTGTTGCTGTTGTAATTCCAGCCTCGTCCACGACCTCGACTTCCACCTCGTCCATGACCTCTACCTGCCTTGGCCACGTTGGTTTCTATCATTGCGTTGGCTCTCATGCATATCCTTGTGTTGCAGCTTGAGGAGCTGCTCAGTAAACTCATGCTTCTTCTTATGCTTCTCTTCGTATTCTTGCAATGATCCTTGGAGTTTCTTGATCCTCATTTCTTCCAAGTCTTTAGTTTCTTCAATCATCACGACGATGTGCTCAAATTTGGGATCCAACGAACGGAGTATCTTCTCTATTATCCTCACATCTTCTAACTTTTCACAATTTCTTTTTAATTGATTAGAAACATCTACTACTCTTGAGAAATAATCTGAAATAGACTCAGATGCTTTCATGTGTAAGGATTCGAATTCACCTATTAATGTTTGGAGATGAATCCTTCTTCACTTACTCGAATCCTTTGTAAGAAGTTTGCAGCTTCTCCCATGCTTCCTTGCTAGAGCTTGCACTTGAAATCTTTTCAAAACCATCATCATCTAATGCTTGATAGATGAGGTAGAGAGCCTTTTTGTCTCTCTTTCTTGAATCCTTCAAAGTTATCTTTTGATCTAGTGTAAGAGTAGAAAAAAAAAACATCATCTACAATCTCGTTATAGCCTTTCTCTATGATATCCCACACATCTTGTGATCCAAGAAGTGCCTTCATTTTGATACACCAATTTTCGTAGTTGTTGTTGTTGAGTGTCAGAACTTGGAATAGTGTCATACCATTTTCTATATCTCTCAATATAATGAGATTTTGTAAAATCCGATTGCACGGATAAATCCGGAACGCCGAAAAACCTTGGGAGGGACTTGGACAACTCGGTCAAGGGCTCCAACTCGGCTGACTCGGCTCAACTCGGTGAGTCAACTCGATTTTCTGGCAGCATTCTTCCGCCGGTGCGTGGCAGTGCGTCAGAACTCAGATTGAGAAAATTCTGGTGGCGTCGGATTCCTCTCGTCGAGACCTTCGATCTTTCCAACTCGCTCTGATACCACTTTGTTGGAAATAAAACACTCACACAAACAACTTTTATTGAAACTCAAAGAAATATTACAAGAGCACTCTCACTCAAAACCAAGAACTACAACTCACTCTTATAAGACTTTGCTTCTTCACTCACTTAGAAGCTCTTAATTTTTCTTGATGCTTAAAACTAAAATGGAGAGGGGTATTTATACTACTCAAGAATAATCATACACCACACAAATAAACTAATTTAAACCATTACAAATTCAACAAATACCTAAATCTCACCTAGCTAAATTGATTTAAGCAATGACATCATTACTTAAATGATGTTAGCAATGACATCAATTTAGTTTGGGTTTGGGTTTAGGCTCCCATAATGGATCAATTTTATGATCCAGCATGTGATTGGTCTCCACCCTGCATTTGAAGCAAGTGCCCGGAAAACATAATTTAATGGAACACAATTCTTCTGCCCCATTGTGTGCCTCTTTAGGTGCACACCACTAGTTTTTTTTTTTTGACATGTGAACTAATTAATCATAAATAAATTAACAATGATTTATCGTTTACCTCTATTCTTTCTCTTCCTTTCGACATTTTTATTCTAACATCTCTACTATGGATTTACTGTGAAAATTCTCTCTTACATCCTCAATTTTTCTTTTTCATCTCTTTGCTCCATCGTCATCAATTTCATGTTTTGTTATCTCATCTCTTAACTACTTTGGATGCTTTAGTATCATCAGTTTCATCACATTTCTTATTCCCAAATCATTTATTCATCAACATTTACTTCACCCATCACTTTTTTCTTCATTCCTCATCATCAAATTCTCCATTTTTCTACTCTTAAACCATCGAAAAACATGATTTTTCTTTTCAAGCTTCACTTTGTCACTAATATATGCAATCTCTTTTGTTATTAGCTCCAGTTTCAATATCACACTTAAACAATAGTGATAATTCCAGAATTGGGGATAACGAAATCATATGAGAAGTTTTAATTTTTTTCCAGATGATTTATCATCATTAAAATATTTATTTTTTTATATATTTTAATAGTCTTGGATGTAAATTATTAAATCATAGCAGTCTAACAGATGATTTAATCATCTTCAATAAATGATTTGAAAAATATTGGTACAATAGTCTGTGAAGAAGAAATGTGATGAAACTGAAAATATTAAAGCTTCGAAAGTAGTCAAGAGATTGCTGTAAATTGATAGCAAAACATGAAATTGATGATGATTTAGCAAAGAGATGGAAAGAAGAATTGAGTATGCATGAGAGAATTTTCACTTAACAATGATTCCAAAGTAAGGACGTTGGAATCAGAGCCGTCTTGTAAATTTTGGTGGCCCTATGCCATAATAGTAATAGTAAAATAAGCCTTTTAAAACTAAAATATTAGATATATAAAGAAGTTCACTAATATTTTAAAATTTATTATAACTATAAGAAAACGTTAAATAGTGGTAAAAAATATCTTCATATAATAATGTGGGCCTTGGACTTGAAAATTCTTGGGTCAAACATCTTAAATATATATATATATATATATATATACAAAAGACTTAAAAAAATTTGGAGGCCCTTACAAAAATTGGGCCCTGTGCGGTTGGGCAGCCCGCACAGACCCAAAACCGGCCCTGGTTGGAATAAAAATGTGGAAATGAAGGTAAACAGAAAATCATCGTTAATTTATTTATGATTTACTAATCCAAGTATCAAGAAACTAGTGGTGGGGCAGGCACACAATGGGGTAGAAGAATTCTATTCAATTTAATGAGAGAATTTCTATATAAAAAAAAAAACCCTGCCCGAAAACTCTATGGTATGTGATAGTACAGAAAGATAACAAGAAGATGAATGAATTATTGAGTTGCATGAAATTAATACCTATGTTTGAAAAAATGATGTGAAACGAGTTTGCTAATCACGTTCATGCTTGAACGAAAATACAAAGTAAAACACATTTTATAAAAAATACTCAACGAGGGTGGAAAGGAAAGCTTTATATAAATGTTTTATCTTTTTTATCTGCATAATTGTTTTTTGGTAAACAAAGATGAAAAACAGAGCCTAACCACTAATGCCTAAGCTATCACCAAGCAGGATCGGAATGAGCACAGTAAGAGTCGTAGAGAACTTTCTTCCCGCAAAAACATATGTTAAAGCCATCTTTGTCATGCTATCAGCAAGCCTATTCACTTCTCGCCTCACCTGTGAAAATGAGATAGACCATTTCTTGTTTAATAGCTCGTGTATATGAACTAAAATAGTCAGGGACGCTCCACCCCGATTCAAATTATGCAGTGCCTTATAGACCTTCCCATTATCCGTTTTAAGGATGATAGACCGTGCCTCGAGATTCCATGCATGCTTCAAGCCCTCAATGACCCCCCATAATTCTGCTTCAAAGGTAGAACAGATTCCAACAGCTCGAGCGAAACTGAATTTCCATTCTCCCCTACTATCGCGGATTACACCCCACACGAAGCATTCCCGTGCGCATCTGTTGCCCTGTCAGTATTAACTTTCAAAAAAGTCTCCGGCAGAGCTTCCCACCTAATTTTGAGTGAGCGAGTAAACAAGATATGGCTTTTGTTTTTTGTTGCAGTCTCCATAGCTTTCAAACATTCAGCTTGAAACCGAAAACTTTGATCTAGAACTGATGTGTAGCCCGGTTTTTCCATATCAAAAACACACAAATTTCTATGTTTCCAAAGGTTCCATGGAATCGCCCCAAACAACAGTTCCCACTACAAATCTCTTACAAAATAATCCGGCTTTGAATGGTTTTAATCAAGAGCCAAGAGTAATATCCATGGTAAAAAAAACAGTTAGCTTTCCGAGGTGTATCAGTCGTTTCCATACCTCCAACGCTGTCGGACAAGTACGAAACAAATGGTAAATTGTTTCATCAGGAGAGTCACGAACACCACACCTTGATCAACTACTCATATGGCGTCGCACCCTCTCGGAATTGGTAAGCAATTTATCGCATGCCAGAAGCCAAAGAAACACTTTCACCCTTGAAATCCCTTTGAATTTAGCAATGGTGCTCCAAATTTTATCCGTCGAGACAGATTCAGTTTTTGTCCAAATTTCATACGCCGATCTGACTGTGAATAAGCAAGTCGGTTGCCATTTCCATCCCATTCCATCCACCATATCCTGAGGAAGAGCCATGTGGATCAAAGGGCATTTACATTCCCCACGCTCATCAACCATATCCGCTGTCGTAACCCGTTTTTCGTCCGGGCACGAAATATTTATTTGGCGGGAAAATTGATATGAATAAATGGTTTTGAAAATAATTTGGGAATCGCCATCGGCCTTTTGGGTCAGGTAGGTCGAATACCTAAAAATTATTTTTTAAAAAGAGTTTTAAGAAAACATCAATTAAAAAATGAACTGATCTGCGTTTATAACCAAAAATTCGTTCTTTTTAATAATAAAAAGGGATTCGTGGTCGGTTACGTTTAGGGAAGGATTAGCACCCCTACAACGCCCAAAATTGGTACTTTTTAATTATAAATTGTCTCTATTATTAAAAATTTAAAAATTCAAAATATATTTAATTTATAATCCTATTATTTCAAAATTTTAAAAATATCGGAAAAGGACTTCTAGGTGCCTTAAGACAGCTCTTTTCTTTGATATTAATAAATATTAATTTGAATAAAATTAAATAATAATTTTTTATAATATTTAATTTTAAAATACCAGAATAGGACATCCAGTTGTATTAAGACTGCCCTTTTCTTCGATATTGAAAAATAAATATTAAAATAATTTATTGAAAAAAATAAATTATTATTTATTATATATATATTTATGACTACATAAAATATTTAAATATATAAACAAGTAAAATTAAAAAAATAAAAATGCAATTAGAACTATATATTTAAAAGCAATAAAATAAATAAAAATATTTAAAATTATTGACTAAATTATAGTAAATTAAAATTAAATACCTAATTCATAATTAATCAAAATTATAGGGATTAAACATGATATTTCCTTATTTTCTTAATTATTAAAATTAAAGGACTAAATCTGTTATTTACCCTAAATATATTATTTTAATACAAAGGACTAAAATAAATAAAATTAAAATTAAAGAACCGAATTAAAAGGATTATAAATTGATTTAGTGACTAAAATGGAATGTTACAAAATTAAGATGACTGCGGAAAGGATTTAACTATTATTTAATTACACGAATAGCCTCCCCGAAACGACGTCGTTCGGGAAGGGCTATTTAAAGCCGAATTCAGCTGGCCCTTTGGGCCATATTTCACTTCTTTTTTTTTATTTCTCTCTCTAACTGAGAGAGAAATAAACGCTCTCCCCTCTCTCTAGCTTCCCTCATCGGAGGGAAGCCGGTCACCAGACGGCAGCCTTCTGCCGCCGTGACCCTCACCACCGGCCACCGCATCCGGTGGCCGAAAATTTTTATTTTTTATCATTATGTAGATCGGACCGTCCTAAGGACGGTTCCGGTGCTTTTTTCTCCTAAATAGCTCTTGATCGGAGCAAATCTAAAGAAATACCTTCGGTTTCCGAAGGTTTTGGTGACGTTTGAAAGGTCCGTTGGCTTCCTCGGTAAGCTTCTTTCCTTTCTTTTTGTTTCTGTTTTGGTTTACTGCTGGTTGTGGGTTGTTTGTTCTTCGTTTTTGTATCTTTGCTCTCTGTTTTCTGTCTCTCTCGTCTGTCTTCTCTTTCTCGGTTATTCCTCTCTTTTTTTCTTCTTGGCAGGGGCTCGGTGGCTTTTATAGCTACCACCGATGATAGCTTCGGACCGGTCCCAAAAGAGGTTCTTCGGTGAGTCACCGGACTTCCAGTGGTGACTCACCATTTGGGGAGACGTGTGCGGCTGGTGTTGAAACAGCAAAGCTTCTGGATTCTTCAGCAAGGCGGCGGCGTCGCGGCGTGGCACTGGCAGCTTTGACGTGTCCCTAGGGTATGATACCCTAGGGTTTCCTTGTTGGGTATCTCTGGACCGTTGGATCTTGCCAGATCCAACGGTAGCAAGCTGAGGCGGCTGGGAAGAGGGAAACCCTAATCTGTTAGGTTTTGTTATGGGCCATTTGTAATTGGGCCGGTCCAATCTGTGCCTGTTTGTAATTATTATTATTATTATTTTTTTTTTTAATAATAATAATATATATATTATAATTTTAATAATAATTATGATAATAATTATAATATAATAAAATGGGTAAAAAATTTAGTATCTTCAGCTGCCCCTCTTTGCTCATTCTTGTATTAACAGGAATAGGGCAAAGACGAAAAGATAAATTTTTTTATCCATTTGGCTTCACTCAATTATGATGGAGATGTTGAATAAATTCTTCTCTTTCCTCAGATGAGTTCTTCTCATTATGAACTTTTCGCTGGGGATGATGTTGACATATTTCCTTCTGTGATAGAGTCATTCAAAAGGTTAAATAAGCTCTTCTCATTATGAACTTCTTCTTTCTCCTTCAGATGAGTTCTTCTCATTATGAACTTTTTTCTGGAAAAGCTGATCCATCAAATGATGAATTCAAGCAAAAGGTTGAACAAATTCTTCTTATTATGAACTTCTTCTTCATTCTTTAGATGAGTTCTTCTCATTATGAACTCAAACTGGAAAAGCTGATCCATCAAGTGATGGATTTGGGCAAAAGGTTGAACAAATTCTTCTCATTATGAACTTTTTCTTCCTTCTTCAGATGAGTTCTTCTCATTATGAACTCGAACTGGAAAAGCTGATCCATCAAATGATGAATTCAAGCAAAAGTTGAACAAGTTCTTCTTATTATGAACTTCTTCAGATGAGTTCTTCTCATTATGAACTCTACCTGGCAAAGCTGATCCATTGAATGATGGATTTGAGCAAAAGGTTGAACAAATTCTTCTTATTATGAACTTTTTCTTCCTTCTTCAGATGAGTTCTTCTCATTATGAACTCGAACTGGAAAAGCTGATCCATTGAATGATGGATTTGAGCAAAAGGTTGAACAAATTCTTCTTATTATGAACTTTTTTCTTCCTTCTTCAGATGAGTTCTTCTCATTATGAACTCTCTCTGGCAAAGCTGATCCATCAAATGATGAATTCAAGCAAAAGGTTGAACAAATTCTTCTCATTATGAACTTCTTCTTCCTTCTTCAGATGATGAGTTCTTCTCATTATGAACTCTACCTGGCAATGTTAATCCATCAATTGATGAATTTAAATAAAAGGTTGAACAAATTCTTCTCATTATGAACTTCTTCTTCCTTCTTCAGATGATGAGTTCTTCTCATTATGAACTCTACCTGGCAATGTTAATCCATCAATTGATGGATTTGAATCTTTGCTAAAAATCTTTGAAATTCCTGTCAAAATTCAACATGGATGAAAATGAATGAAAATGCACATATTTTTGCAAATGCCTAAATATGATGCATGAATGTTAAGTTATTTGATTTCAGATTGGTGAACTGAGTATTTCTTCAGTTGTAGAAACCCAATAAATCTTTTTTTTTCAAATCAGAGAATCTTATCATTTTTGACAAATGTAGATGTAGATATAATGTCGCAAAACATCTTGAGAATAAAACTCAATAGTATAGGCTCTTGAAAAGTTTGCATTCATGCAACATGTTGATTCTGATAACAACTCATCTGATTATGAAGTGACATTTCAAGATGATTTCACAGATATCGATAGTTCTTTTAATACCAAGAAATCTTGAATTCTGATTCTGATGAGGTGAATAAATTGTTATTCTTGACAAAAATGGGATTCTCAGAGGCTGAAGCTTCAATAGCCATGAAGAGATGTGGTTCAGATTCATCAATTACAAAATTGACAGATTTCATATATGCTGCTCAAATGGCTAAGGCTGCTGACGCATTTTTTCGGTAAAAGGTAGGAAGTCATTATGTAATGATCCCAATTACAAGAAAAGCAAAACTTGGGCTATGATTTTTTTTGGGAAAGGAATAAACAGAAGAAGCTTGGAAAGAAGCTTCTTAATGAAGACGATCATGCAGTTCATCTTTTAATCCCAATGATTGGTTCTGTAGTTCCTACCAAACCAGATCAGATAACTCAAAAAACTCTTCCAGAAGATGCTATTGAGTCTCCTTATTTCTACTATGAGAAAATTCATCTTTCAAATCCAATGATTGGTTCTTGGGGTTCATACCAAACCAGATCAGATAACTCAAAGAACACTTCCAGAAGATGCTATGAGCACATTCATCTTCCAAATAATGTTTGGACTGGGATATCACAGTACTTATTCGATGTAGAGCCAGAATTTGTAGATTCAAAGCATTTTCATGCTACTACACTGAAAAAGGCTATATTCATAATTCTGCCAATTGAGAACAGATTTTCTCTTATTCTGCTTCCTCCATGTGCTGATGCTTTTCCATTGACAAAGAAATGATGGCCTTCATGGGATCCAAGAACAAAGTTGAACTGTTTATAAACATGTACAGGAAGTGCCAAATTGACAGAAAGGATCATTAAGGCTCTTGAAGCTTATCACAATGAGCCACCTTCGAGTGTCTAGAAGTATGTTCTTGATGAGTGCTGAAAATGGAATCTGGTATGGGTTGAAAAGAATAAAATTGTTCCACTTGAATCTGATGAGGTGGAAATGCTTCTAGGTTTCCCTAAAAACCATACACAAGGATCTGTATAGAGACATGTTCCATGGTGGTATCAATGTCATGTCTCTTTTCTCTGGGATCAATGATGCAGAGGTTGCCTTTTACTGTCTTGGCATACTTTTGAAAATAGATGTGCAAGAACTGAATGATGATCGGTTGGAGCAATTGATGAGTAGTTTTGTCGAATTCGACCTTGTTGTCAGTGGCATCCAGCATAACAACCTTACTGGAAGAAATAAACATCATCAGGATGAACTAGAAGATTTTTTTTGTTGGTGCATTTTCTTGCAATGACTGCTACGACAACTCTCTCTTCAGCTGCTACAATATATCCCACTCTTTTCGAATCATGAAATGGTTTAGTTGACAGTAAAACTGGTCATCTTCAACTTTTGAAATACTGTAACCAATGTTACCCTATATATCCAGAGTGCAAATAATGACTTGTTCATGGATTTATGATGATGATGATTGGTTTACTTTGTATTCCATGCATTTAAAAGTATTAACATAAAGTGATATTCAGAAATCTTTAACTTATTTCAAAATTATGTTAATTCATAGAAGAATAA